CAATAATAAACATTACCTTTTGTAGTGGACCCAAAAGAATTGTCTCCTTTACGTTCACATCCGAGCAAACGAACGGTAATGAAAATGCTTTGAATTTTATTAGAGCGAATACATTTAACGTAGTCTAATGTTAAATAACATGAAAGAAATTAAATACACTGAAATGAACAGGATGAATTTTGTAGCAGTGAAAGAATAAATAGAATTTTCATTAAACAAAATCCTTCAATTTAGATGGTATAAGCTCACTTCTTAGAAATAATATCGACTGTTTCTCTTAATATGCTCATTCTGAAAATATAGAACCAGAAATAAAATGAGCCAGAGCCACATAAACATTAGAAATGGTTAACAACACCAACTCTATTTAATGTCAAAAAATTTTTAAAAATGAAATTAATAAATATTTAGGTAAAAGAATTTGTAATTACTGCAGTAGCTTTTTTATGTAATTAAGTAGGAGATAGGAATGAATGTCTGATGTCAGTATGTTATTAAAATAAATAGTGTATGTTTTTTAAAATTATTAACAACAATATTATAATGTAAATGTACTACCATAAAAATGTAAAACCATACTACAAATGTTCAATAGTCGCAGTACCCTTGCAGTATTGTTGTTTTGAACTATATTTTTAAAATTAGAACTTAATGTATACACCAAGAATAGCAAATAAATTGAATTGAATTGAATTCGTGCGTACAAGTCTACAGTCAACATACTATCAAGTAATATCGGCACACTGTCAAACGGTAAAATATTGTGCCTAGCCATATATTGGGGCGGCAAAGCGGACATTTCCTTGCCCTAAAACTTTCTCAGAAATAAGAGGAAGCCCGCGCCCAGCTGTGGGATGTATATAGGATGTAACAACTAAAGTAAACATTGATTAAAAAATAAAAAATAACTATTTAGGAATAAACTAAACATTTCATTTTATTATTATTATTATTGGCTGTAGTAAAATCCTTGTACTTCCCACGTCACATTTTAACACGTCAAACGACGACGAAGTAAACATAGTTATTATATGTTTAACACTCTTCGATAGAAAGATTCTTATTTTAAATTAATAGAGACAGGTAATCTTACATAAACAAGATATAATGAAATATAATTACTTATGATCCCATAAGTTCCTTTTGTAATAAATAGGGAGGTTGAAAACTAGCAATAAAAATTGTGCTTCGAGAGGGGTTCCGTAGCATGTGCTACGTAAATCGATAAATTTATATTCGTAAAGTTTGTTGAAATTTATACTTTTAAAGAGTTCTAAAACATAGACTCGTGTTTAAATTTGAGACTTTTTATAGGATAGGGGTGACAACCGAACACACAGTTCACCTAATCAACATCTATCCTCAAATTGGAATGAAAATGCAGATGCGCTGTCACCCCTGAGGACCAAGATGGAATGCCTCGTTTTCAGTTAAACAGGTCTCCAGTGTTATATGTTCACCATACGAAATTCATCAGCATTAAGTTGCTATTTTACGCTGATTTTCTGTGAGTGCGTGGTCCTTCTCCACTTGAGTCGACCCAGTCGTCATAATATAACTGCAGCATGGCTCTACCTTGTATGAAGTATTCAAATTAAAAGCTACTATTTGTAATAAAATGAACTAAGTTTTACTTTGTAATGAAATTGAAATGAAGTAAAATGTAAAAATTAATTGGTTATGATCCATTTTACATTTTACGTTGATCTAAGATAGTTAAATTAACATCTTTTTTTTCTTCTTCCTTTTCTTTTTTTCTCTTTCTTTATGTAATGAGTTTTGTTAAAATACGTCAGATTCTAGTATCTTAAATGAAGTATTACGTCATTTTATTATATTTTTGATTTGCATACTATTGTACGTGTGTTATGCGCGTGCTGTATGATTATTAACGTACTGGTTACTTATGCCTGATAGTCCCGTAAATGACTCACAGAAGTTGCCAAAGGTGCGTATCGGGTTTAGTAATTGAAATCTCAAAAGTCACTGATGTTATATTCAGAAATCACAATTTACAGATTAAGATATTTGTAATTGGCGATACAATATTGTTACGAGCTTGAGGTTCGTGACAATAAAAATTGCCGATAGAATTACCAAAATTAACTCTTTAATTCACTTTACACTAATTAAAACTTAGAACACTAATAATTAACCACACTGATTCACTTTATTTCGCTCCGTAGCTTCGCTTGTCTCGCCGAATTCAATACTTCCCCGATCGCATCTTGCAGCGCCTATAAATACACATTAGCACAGAAACATCCAGAACATTCAAGTAAATGCGCGCACCAATAGACAAGGCACCGAAAGTTCGAGTGTCGGCTTCTTGAAGCTTAGATCTTCGTTTCGACACCAGATGGCGCTGTCGGTTGAAAGATTAGTGATGTCATTTTCTGGAAAGCTCCCCTCGCTCTCGTCCCCACACAGAGTATACAACCCCCTCCCGAGAAGCCATATTTAGCTGTCCTATACCAATTCCCTCCTCACCAGACCCAGTAAAACTGTTCTCGGACCTTCAGTAGAGTTCGTTTAACTCCCAAATGGACTCTTGAACGACCACTATGGCACAGCTGTAGAACATTCGGCACTTTAGCTTTAGGGACAACCATTTGCAAACGACAGCCGTCTCTTCGAACATTGTCCCATTTACGGCACAGGACTCCATCCTGAATCAGCAAGCTATCCCTTTGGGCCCAATAGCTTTTCGTGGTTGAACTCATCGCTGAGACGTCGCTACACTCAGGCTTGGTAGCACGGGCCTTCATTCATTCCAGAATCGGCTTGATGTCCGGATCTTCCTGCTGTGCATGTCGTAGGCTGCCCTTCCTCTCGTTGCTGAGGTGGTCTGTCCTGAGCAAGTATTTACCAAATTATTATCACCAACAACAACAAAATTAACAATAAAATATAATTTTTATAGGATAGGGTGACAAATGAGCACCTGGTTGTAAGTAGTTGCTGTGGCCCATAGACATCTACATCTATCCTCGATTATGAATCAAACTGCAGATGCGTTGTCACCCGTAAGGACTAAGATGGAATGCCTCGTTTCAAGTAAAAAGTAAAAAGGGTCTCCGGTTCTCTACACTCACCACACGAAACACAGCAGCATTAAGCTACTATTTGACGCTGGTATTCTGTGAGAGCGTGATCCTTCCCCGGTTGAGCCGATCCATTCGTGCTACAACTATACTTCTAATATAACTGCAGCATGGCTCTACCACGTATAGATACGTGTATGTCTCCTAAAAGGTCTGATATGACAAACTGTATTTACACCTGCCCTGTATACCCTTCAAATCAGTACACAGTAGTAGTGGTACTACTATTTGGTGACAAAAATAGGTAAGAGGGTAGTGCTTATCTAGACCAATTTCTAGGTAGAGAAGAAGTCCTACCTTACAAGTTTTAGCTGTTTCTATCGTTAGGTAGGAGTGCACACTATTGTATTCTAGTTTAAAGAGTGAGGAGTCAAATAAAATTATATTCTAAAAGATAATTTTGACACATTATTAATACGCTAAAAGTGTGAATTTTTTCCGTCGTAAAATGTAATAATTGCTCCTTCTCGCAAATGACGTTAAACATAAATTTTATGGTGAGCAGATTTAATACAGTCAACTTGGGTATCTTTGAATTTCAATGTAACTTTGAATAGAACTTCACTAACAATTAAATATTTTTTACAACTGTACCAGAGTATCAAAATAGAGAAGGTATCATGTGGAGCTAAACAGTGGAATGTATAGACTATATTTAACAAAAAAAACTGTACTTGTCAATGTCAGTTTGTATTTTAGCGCGTCTGCGAAAACAAGGTCTGTCTGCAACAAAGTTTATTAGTGAATTTAAATTACATTTTTTTAAAGATATCGTAACTGAAGAGGGTAAGTTTTGTATTTAATATTACTGGTACAGTTTTAACTTATCTTTTTGTCAATTAACATATAATTTACTAACCCTTTTACCCATATATTTGATAATCATTTGAAACAGAAAAATATAACAAATTTTTGGGTAACTTTGAACCATTCAATGTTACCCTGGTAGTATTTTATTAGATGGGGTAACTTTGAATGTGTTGCTACCAAATGTTAAAAAACATATGTATGAACATAATTGTTTTTTATTTAAAGGTACAATGACGCGAAAATCCTTTAAAATTAAGCCTGGTGTTAGAAAATATGGAACTAAAAGCAATTATACTCCAGAAATTTTGGAAGAGGCACTTAATAAAATTCGGTCAGGTGCCATGTCTAGGATGGATGCTTCCAAACATTATAATATACCACCTGTTAACATTATATTATAAATTAAATAAGAAACATATCAAAAATATCGGAAGACCTATTACATTTACCGTAGAAGAGGAGGAGAGCTTTCAAAATCATTTGTTACTGTTGAGTGATGTGGGCTTATCATTGAGTATGTTAGACTTCAGGATTATCGTCAGAGATCACCTAAATAAAAACAACAGGATTGTGCCGCAATTCAGAGACAATATGCCTGGTTATGAATGGGGAACATTATTTTTAGAAAGACATCCTTTACTGAAGGAGAAACTATCTCATAATATCCCGAGAAAAAGAGCTCAAGTTAATCGTGAGCAATTTGAACAATTTTTTAATAATTTTTCCAAGGAGAGTGAAGGCGTCGCTCCACAAAATTTATATAACATGGACGAGTCAGGGTTTCATGACGATCCCGGGAAAAAGAAATTGCTATTTTGTAGAGATTACAAGCACCCTGATGTAATAAAAAACAGCTCTAAATCGTGTTTTACCATAGTCTTCTGTGGGAATGCAGCAGGTGAGCTCGTACCACCATTTTTTTATTTTTAAAGGGGTAAAACTTTGGTCTGATTGGCTATATCAAGCCCCTGAAGGTTCCAGAATGTCAGTCTCAAAATCAGGATGGATGCAGACAATAATTTTTGAAGATTGGTTAGAAAACCAATTCATTCCATTCGTGAAAAAATATGAGGGTAAAAAATATTAATGTGTGATAATTTAAGCGAGCACATATCTCCTAAAGCACTGAGTTTATGTGCTGAAAATAATATTTCGTTCATTTGTTTAATCCCTAACTCGACACATCTTCTTCAACCCCTTGATGTAGGCTATTTTTCGGCAGTAAAATCGGCATGGAGAAAAGTTCTTAATGATTATCGTCAAACCTGCAGAGACAAGAAAGTTTTGGCTCTTCCGAAGTCATTATTTGCCCAGTTAATTAAAAAAACTTTACAAAATGGAAATGCCAATTCATCTGAAAGTCTACGAGCAGGATTTAAAAGTTGTGGTTTGTATCCATTGTCTCCAGATACTGTGTTAAACAAACTTCCAGCATATACCTCTACTGTGGACACAAGCGACACTATTGGCGAAAGTTTTGTTAATTATATAGCAAATGTGAGGCAATCGGATTTAAATACAGTAACCAAAGGAAAGAAATTTCAATTACCTGTAGTAGCAGGGAAGAGTGTGTCGGATGAAGAAGTGGAAAATTATTATAAAGAAAGGGAAAAAACAGCCAAAACGAAGACAGGAAATGAAGTAGAAACCAGCCAGTCTAAAAAACGTGGCAGGCCCAAGGGATCAAAAAACAAGAAAAAGAAAAAGCAAAGGGATCCTGCTCCTTCTGGAGAAGTCTTGTCAACAGAAAATGACAGTGAAAACAATGAGGTCGTTGATACTGTTGAGCATGGTGAAGAAGGTGATGGAAATGAACTTAAGTCACAAAACATTGGAGGACACGCAAAGTTCGTCGTTGAGGCTATGATACACAGACCACCTTCTCCAGAAATAGCTGAAGATTTATATATGCTTGACATAGGTGATAATCTATCTGTGCTTCAAGAACAAGAGGTTGAGCCACCGGTCATAACAATCCGAGGAGATTTTACAATTGGAGAGTCGGAAGAACAAATATTATGGGAAGAGGATAGGATAGAGATAAGGATTTGCCAATTGTAAAAGAATATATTGTGGAACCTAGCGGTGACTTAACAGCCTCTACATCACATAAGAGTGGACTAACCCGCAAGGAAGATAACACCGAAAAGAATGATTCTGTTAGAGATTTGGTAAAAGATGCTTATTGTATATTTAGTAATGAGGGGAGCAGGTTCCTAGGACAAATACGAAAAGTAAATTTGTCAACCGCGACTGTCATGGTTTCAGCTTTCCAAAAATCTTTTTTTAGGAGGTTGGAAGTGGCCTTCAAAAGCCGAGATATTAAAAGTAAAGGTATCGGATATAGTAAGTACCGTAAAAGAACATCAAATCTCCAAGAAATGTGGTATAACATACATAGAAGATGAAATTTTATTCATGGAGTGGGGAGAGTAAGATTTTTGTAAGTCAAATATTAATGAGAAATGTCATCTTATATACAAATTTTTGATCTCAAATGAAACCCAAAAAGCTCTAGTATTTTAATACAAATTTTATTTTATTAATTTAAGTCAATAAATACAGTTAAAAATTTATAAAACTTTTGTTTTTGTATCTTCCTTTTTGGTACATTTAGTTTGTATATGGCATCCCCAAGTGATGTAAAAAAAATTGTACTGCATACGACTGGCCATAGAGCATAATTTTATTTTCTTATTAAAAAACGCTAGTTAATGTTACCCAAGCTCCAAATAAGTCCAATATTATATGTTTTAGTCTTCAGAAACAAAAGAGTTCAAAGTTACCCAAAATTCAAGATAACTTTGAATGGTATTTCAATCGTCAATTTTAGTAAGAATTAAGCGTATTTTAATTAATCTGAATATTATAATACGTAAATAACATTAACAGAACACAGTTAACGTAATAAAATCATTAATCCCTCATATAATTTTTTTACTCTGTAAAAATCTTCAAAACCTGTTCAAAGTTACCCAAGTTGACTGTATGAGAATGTTATTGGAAATGTAGACAAAATATTACTGTTTTAAAAATTCCGCAGTAAATTCAGTAAAAAGGAACACGTATGTGTAAGTCCATACACATATTTTTCCGTGGAGAATTTCACTTACAAGATATAAATTTGTCAAATTTATTATAAATAAGGATACTTAAAGGTTGAATACACATATTGTCCGTTCTTGACTGAGGTTTCTTCAATCTGTATGATTGCTTGGCATCGATAGATATTTGCCAGCTATTAACAACGTTGTACGAGTAAAACAAGTTTCTAGAGTGAAATGTGAAAAACATCATTAAATTTTTTAAATCACCCCTAAACTTAAATATTTTGTGATGCAATTACACTGATTGATAATATCTATTGTGTTAAAGCCCTATTCAGTTACACCCTAACCTTAACAACCGTTTGCTCATTTTTCAATCATGTAAATTTTAAAAGATACTATAGAAGGATTTATAATAATTATAACCGGTTTAATTTGACCAGACTGTGTAGTGGCGGAGTAAGAATATTATCCCGTAAGTCTTGTAAGAGGCGTCAAGGTAAAATCATTCAGTTCGCATAATATATACATTGTACAAAGTTTTTACGGCTCAACATGAATCTAGATATGGACTACTTTAAATCATTTACAGTATATTTATACAGTTCAAAAAAGTAAATGGAAATGATAAACATTTAAAAACACAATCAGGGATTTAGTTTAATTTAATTTTGCTACACTTAGGCAATGATGTATGGGGCGATACCTAGGACTATATCAGCACTTACCACTATTTATAGGATTATAGTCTACCTCTGGCCTATAATAAGTAAAAAATATATACACAAAATATTAATCTGATTATTATATATTATTTTGTATACTTATTTTTTATTTTGAATAAGTGCTCTAAAACGCTCTCCTACACCGCGTCTCTGAAAATATCACTGGAGAAAAAAAAACGTGAATATAAATTGAATTGGTTGATCGTAATTTGATATTTTTCAACGGCTATAAAGATATTAATACATATATAGGTTAAGGAATTTTGACAGAACACATTAATTGTACCAATAGCGCCACAAACTTTACTGTTCAGTTGACAAAGTCACTAATGGAGAGCTTACTATTGCCATTTAAGAAGTTTACCGCATTATCATTTTTCATCACATTACAAGTTCACTGCTGAATATAGGACTCCCCCAAGGAAGGCCACAAAGCACGCTCCTGAGCCACCTGCATCCATCGACTTCCTGCATGTCTTGCCAGGTTGTCGCTCCATCTAGTGGGAGGTTGCCCTACACTACGCCCAACGATACGAGGCTGCCACTCGAGAACCTGTTTTTCCAGAAATTACCACTTCAGCTCACTAATCCGTTGGGCTATGTCGGTCATTCTGGTTCCACTGCGGATATTCTCATTTCTGAATTTATCACGCAGAGAAACCCCAAGCATAGCCCTCTCCAAGGATCGCTGACTGACCTTGAGCGTCCTAATACGGCCAGCAGTGAAGGACTACGTCTCAGATCCGTAAGTCATCACTGGCTACACGCATTGTATGCGTAACGCGGTGCGTAATTTCCCGAACGCTGCCCAGCCGAGTTGAATCCGTCGATTGACCTCGCGGTCGAAGTCGGACTTACCTAGTCGGCCTATTTGTCCCAAGTAAACGTACTCGTCAACAACTTCGAGCATAGTGCTCCCAACAACTACCGGCATAGGTGTGACGTGGACATTAAACATGTTCTTTGTTTTGTCCATGTTTATCTTAGACCTATCCGTTGAGAGACACTATTCAGATCATTGAGTATAGTGCTTAGGTCCTCCAGCAATTCTGCCATAAGGATTTTATCATCGACAAATCGAAGGCGAGTGATGTACTCGCTATTAATGTTAATACTGTATCCTTTCCAGTCCAGGAGCTTGAAAACGTCTTCCAATGTAGCGGTGAATAGTTTCGGGCATATAACGTCACTCTGCAATTGGATAGGTTTCGTAGTCTGGTTCTGTATTCGGATAGCCATCGTGGCCCTACTTTACAAACACTTCAACACTTCGATATACTGACAGTCAACTTGGCACCACTCAAATTTCGAGGGAATCAAAAACTTTCTCATGTTCTACATACGTCAGGCAAAGTGGCAGATTTTACTCTTCGGTCTTTTGCATAATCTGCCGCAGGGTATGTATGTAATCTATGGTACAAAAGCCTTTTTGGAAACCAGTTTGTTCGGGAGGCTGAAAGTCGTCGAGTCTGCGTGCCTGACGATTCGTAATGACTCTCGAGAACAACACGTAGAAACGGCTCAGAAGGGAAATCGACCTGTGGTTCTTCACTCTCGTTAAGAACCACAGGTCGATACATCTTTCTTGAAGAACAAGACCACCGCACTTCTGCTCCACGCCTCCGGAGTAGTGCCTGAAGTACTTTAGTACCGGTGTTCCACCCGCTTTCAGAAGCTCCACTGTAATTCCATCCTCACCTGGGGCCTCTGCTGGAGAGCCATTTTAATCTCGCACAGACTGACTCGGAATAATGTCAGATAAGACTTGTTCTTGGATCTTTACTCACACTTGCGTGTGGTTCTAACGATGATGTGTACAGCTGCCCATAGAAACTCTCAATCTCACTCAAAGTCTCAGGTGTCCCGGAAACGATGCTGCCACACTCAGTCTTCAGCTTTGACAGTTGGCTCTTTCTGGCAGACAGATCTCTGGCAAAGACTTAGGAGCCCTGGTTCCGCTGAATCGCTTCTTCAATACGAGCTGTATTGACGTTGCGCAAGTCCCGTCGCATGTATTTGGAGATCTATCTATTCAGTTGCCTGTATGCTGTCAAATCTGTTGAAGACTGCAGCTTCATTTCCTGTCTAACAGCCATGAGATTAAGATTGTGATCGGAGAGTTCTTATGTTCTTCTGCGGCGGGTCTTGCAGAACTTAGCTCCGACCGCATGGATAGTTTGCACGAGTCCACGGCATTGCAAACTTCTAGGCACTGGAAACGGTTTCGTAACTCTAGCTGAAATGTTTCGGGACTTTGGATCAGAGCACGAGGGGGACGGAGGGTTGACGTCATTAGATGAGACCTCTCCAACTTAACGTTTAGGTTCAGTGTGCCTCAAACCATTCGGTGATCGCTGTCAGTTTTCACCGATTGCGATCACTGAGACATCACTGATTAGTTGCCGTCTGGTCGTCAAAATGAAAAAAGCTACAAGTTTACTACTTGTAACACAATCCCATTTTCTTATTTAATTTGTTTGTTTTGAAATAGAGTTTATAAGTGTTTTGTGCAATATTAGTTTTAAGTAATATAATGCATGAATAAACATATACATGTCATTAAAAATTCATGATTGGTAAGTTTTAATAGAATACTTTACAAACATATATTTAAATTAGGTTAGAAACTACCTTTTTCTGCCAAACGCACCCAATGTTATTTTTTTCGATCCGTCGGGGCTCGACCAGGTCCAATTTTTGTGGGGCCGTTTCTGGAAGAAAGAGTTCATCATAAAGAGTCCCTCTTTCTCCATGAAGTCGGCCAGCTGCTGGCCCCTTGGGTTCCGTTGCCCTATCCCAAATTTCCCTACCTTCAGCTCACCGTTCTTTCTTTAGCAATGGCAGTTTTTTGTTGTAGAGTTGCTGTTTTTGAGGAAGATGCTGCTGCCGAATTCCTGCCTGTATGCCCAGCTGTGGGACGTATATAGGCTGTAACTTTATTCAAATTCAAATTTATTTATTTGTGAATACAGGTAATGAGACAGAATATATCTTATATGTATATGTTATATGAATATGTTCGCTGCATTCAACCCTTAGGTATACAAATATTACAGTTACAATTAAATATATTACATTTCCACAGTTATTTAATTTTATTATTTATATTATAATTATATGAGAAAATTCAACAATGATGTAATAATTAATTAGAATGGGATATTTACAATAATATATTGTCTAATCAAAAGTTAAATGAATTATATTTTATGCAATGTCATTATAATATGCCTACTGATGCGTCACTTAAATATTCATCGATTGAGTAGTAGAATTTCTCTATTAGAAA